TCAAGAAATAATAATTAAAAAATTCTTTTCTTATTTAAAAAATAAATTACGTAAATCAAAAATACCCTTAAAATTTTAATTTTTAAAAATTTCCCCAATTAAAAATTTTCAAAAAAAGAGAAGAGAGAACATTTTGTCTTTTAAAAATAGCAAACTCGTTAAAAAATTTTTTTAGCCAAAACATTTTCCGTTTATGGTTGCCTAGTGCTATGGGCATTTTTTATTTTTTTTATTTACTACAATCCTTCAACGATGGATTAAAAATAAAATTTATGAGAAAAGTGAAAGAAAGCGCAAAAATAAAACAAATAAAAATTTATATATTAAGTAGACGGCGCCGACTTGGAGGCAATCTAATGGAAATAACTTTTGAAATTTTTGGCCTATTTTTAAAATTTTTATATGAATCGAAAGCTCTTGATATGAGGATTCTTTTTTCTGAAAGGATTAAGTTGATCAAAAAATTTCAAAAAAAGTTATGCCTGAGTAAACCCAAAAAATCACGATTTTGCTCATTTATCTGGCTCTAACTTTTTAAGAAATGTTTTGACCAACTTAACCCTTTTAGACAAAATAATCTACGAATCAAGTGCTTTCGAATGATATATAACATCATATGGCTTGGATGAAAACAAAAAAAGTTATAGGCCAATAAATTATGGTAGTTGACTTGACGCGGCGCCGAAATATCCCTCCCATGTTTATTAAAAAACTAGTAAATAAATTTATTTAAAGCTTGGCAAAATAGACATTAGTTAAAAGATATTTTAAGGTTAATCTGATGCTTAGAAACTAAAAATAAATGAAAATAAGCCTTAATAATTTCTAAGAAAATACAAAGTAAAAGTTGCTAAAAATAAAAATATTTGGTTCTACTTGACTTTATGAGTCCAATCGAACTTTATGAGTCCAATCGAATTTTATGAGTCCAATCGAACTTTCTGAGTCCAATCAAAATTTATGAGTCCAAATAAAACTTTATGAGTCCAATCAAAGTTTATGAGTCCAAACAAAACTTTATGAGTCCAATCACATTTTATTAGATTTTATTAAATAATACATTTATTAAATAATACAATAAAAATGAATAGGGTTATGTTGTTAGACCTATGGAGTATAGGCGAGGCGCTTGTGCAAAACCCCGCGCTTCGCGCGGGGTTTTGCGGCACGCGCCTCGCGGGAGTCAACGGTCGCTGGGTTCTGGGTCGGCAACATAAATCTATCCCTTTTTTCATCACCAGCTTTGATCGACGACCTACCCCCGTAGCTCACAAAAATCTGATTGGACTCATAAACTGTGAATGGAATCATAAACTGTAGTAGAACCACAATTTTTACTTAGAATAATAAGACATGTCGGATTTATAAAATTTGTTTGGACTCATAAATTTTGATTGGACTCATAAAGTTTTGTTTGGACTCATAAATCTTGATTGGACTCATAAAGTTTTATTTGGACTCATAAAGTTCGATTGGACTCATAAACTTCGATTGGACTCATAAAGTTCGATTGGACTCATAAAGTCAAGTAGAACCAAATATTTTCTGGAAAATGCAAATTTTATTGAGGAATATTTGGAAATTTTAAATTTTTTTGAGGTCCTATTTAGCTTATATTTTTTTTCTCCATTTATTTTTAGCTACACACAATTTTAGCCAAAAATGTCAACGCCGTCCTCTACCCGAAAAAAACTAATGAACACAAACACAGCTAAAATCGGTTGTCTATTTTTGTTTTATTCAATTTTTTAAAGTTCCTGTGTCAAGTTTTAAGAGAAAAATGAATTTTAAAATTTTTAAAATTTTTCTTGACAAAACCAATAAAATTTACAAATACAAAAAGTCGGGTAAAATGGTAAAAAATTGAATAAGAAAATAATACGCAGCTCATGAAGGGGAAAAATAATTAAAAAAGGATTAGAGCGAATAACAGTCTTAAAAAAATTTTAAGAGCGGGCAAAAATGTTTAGAAATTATAAAAAAAGGTTATAAAATTAAATATAAAGAAAATAAAAAAGATGTACCGAAGGGGGGTTCGAACCTTCACCCTTTAGGTACTATAACCCCAAGCCTTACCAACTACACCAACAACACTACCAACGAGCAACTTCAAAAACTTTATTAAAACTTGAATTAAAATAAAATAAGCATTTTAATAGACAAATTAAGCAGTCAATTTAAAGCCTTATTTAATCTCTCAAGTTAATTAATCCAGTCGCTGGAAATGATATCAATAATGAAAAATATAGAAAAATGAGAATATATTTTTAGAAGAGAAGAGTAGTAAATGTTTGTTTGCAGAGTGGGGGGATAGAAACAAAAAAATGTACACACAACAACAACAAAAATAAGGGGGAAGGGGGTATATGCATGTGAACACAGGCAAAACTGAGATAGCAGGGGAAGAGGAGAAGCGGTTATAATACTCCTCTGCAGCCCAAAAGACCAATACCCTTCAATATTTTTTCATTTTTAACCAATAGGAAGAAATCTGTGTTTGTGGCCAAGTGGGCATGTGGCCAAATGTCGTGCCCAGTGATTAAGGTTTTATCATTATTAACAGGCCCTGATATGAACCTAGTGAGGTTGATAAAGAAATCCATAGCTTTTGAACTTTCGGTCTTTTGTCTTTACTCCAATTCTCCCCCTTACTATATGAGCAATATTTATCGACCGCCCCAGCGAAGCGTGGCCTTTTGGCAAAAAAGAGCTTTTTCTGTCTCTTCAACTCGCTTATATCTTGCTAGGTTTAAGAATAGAAGCAGCTGACAAAAGCTTATTTTAAAAGAATAGAAAATAAAATGGGCAAAAAGGAATAGGAAAGTAAGAGGGGGGATCAATGTCAACTAGCTTGAATTAATTAGTAACTTTTGGCCACCCTTAAAAATACCATAATTTGTAAAGGCTGGATTCTGTGGACTTTCAATAGGGCAGAACAAATGATTTTTATTGTAGGATCCAGAACCGACGCGAAAAACGAATTTTTTCCGATAATTCACTTTTGAGCCCGAAGGCTCAAAATGGTAAAATTAAAAAAGAAAAAAAAGCGTGTCGGGCTAACTCAAGGAACGGACAAAACAAGGAACGACAGGTCAAGGAAAAGACAAATCAAAACACGATTAGTTGGTCGTTTCCATGAGTTGGTCGTTCCTTGATTTGTCTTTTTCTTGACTTGTCTGTTCCTTGACTTGTCTGTTCCGTGATTTGTATTTCCTTGAGAAAACCTATCACTTAGTACTGGAAAATAATTTACTAGAACTGTTATCGGTAAATAAAAAGTATTTTTTCGCAACACAAAAACAACCAAAAAAACAATTTTTTCCCAGATTTATTAGAAAGATTCTTTTTGAATTTTTGCTTGAGCCAAAAAGTAAAGGGCAAATAAATAAGCTTTTCTTTTTTCCTAACTTTCTTCTTTAAGAAAAGAAAATTTTTTTTAATATTTTTTTAATAAAATTTAAATTACAAAAAAATATCGAAATCGAAAGAAAAATACCGTATTTCCTAAAATAATACTCCCCCCTGAATTAGTACTCCCCCCTTAAATAATACTCCCCTTTGGAGGAGGGTTGAAAAATAGTACTCCCCCCTTAAATAGTACTCCCCCTAAAATAGTACTCCCCCCTAAAATATTTTTCCCCTATATTTGAAAAAAATTATAAAAGAAACATTGAATTATTCTATTGAAATTTACTTATTGAATTATTTTATTTATTCTGATTAGGGTTGTCAGTTTCACTTGATTCTTCGATAACCGAAACCGAACAGCATCTGTTGACCGAAAACGTACCGAAATTTTAACCTAAAATTTGTCGGCAATTAAAGGGATATAATTGATTAGTTGGTGGGGTAAAAGTGGATTTTGGGGATATAAAGGGATTATATCGGGTGATAAAATGTGTTCTAGATTGATCAAGTAGTATGGTTTGATAAAGGAATTTGAGAGAAAAATGAAGGTTGAGTGTTCGGGACGCACTCATTCCCGAGCGTTCAGGACGAAAATCTATTTGTTATCCCGCCTAATATGGATACCCTAGGATTCGTAGGGATATTCGAAGAAAAAGAGATGTGGAGGATATCGGTGATTAATGCTGATAAATCCCTAGACACAGCGATTAGGTACATCAATTGCGCAGTGACATTGAATAATATCGGCAGATATATGCGGATTAGTGAGATTACGAGGTTTGAAAAGATTAAGGGGTATATCAGTGTTTTTGAAGGATATCTAGGGAATTTTCTCATATCAAGTGTATTAACTGGTCGGGAGTTCAAGATGGATATAGAGGTAAATTTAGAAAATCCGTGTCGGATCCGTCATTTTTCAAATAACGAACTCAAATTGATTTAGAATTTTGAAATAAATTTTCTTATGATAAATCATAAATAAGGGTTGAAAAATAGTACTCCCCCCTGAATTAGTACTCCCCCCTTAAATAGTACTCCCCTTTGGAGGAGGGTTGAAAAATAGTACTCCCGGGAGTACTATTTTAGGAAATACGGTAACCTCAAAAATAGAAAAAAAATTTTTGGTTGGCAATACAAGGAAACCCTCAAATATCTGGATCCGGATTTTCAAATATATCTCTTCAAATAGAGCGGCTTCCCCCCTTCTAATAAACTCTAGAGGATGGTTGAAAAATAAACCGACCGGTCGCACTATTAGAAGAAATACGGTATTTAGAAATTTATTGAGAATTTAAATAGCATTTAAAATTTTAGGCTATTTTCCCTGAATTTTTTTACTTAATATATTAAAATTCAAAATGATTTTTAAAAAATAGTATTTATGTATCAATTTGATCTATTTAATAATTTTAAATAAAATTTTTGTGTGAAAACAATTAACAATAAAAATATAATTTTTTGTATAATTAGAGAAAAGGAAAGAACTGAGGTTAAATGAGAGACTACTAATTACCGAATAGAAAAATGGACTTTTTAAGTAAAAGAAAGCTTTTTATTTTTTGTAGTTGCAAATGAATTTTGATTTTAATTTTTTAAAGAGAATGCCCAATATTAAATAGAACATCATCTGTATAACTCTTTTGCGAATATGTTGAAGATCTAAAATTTTTTTTTAATTTTTTTAATAAAACTAGTAACTATTTATTCCATTATCACCCCCTCATTTTACCTGTTTTCTCCTTTAACTGAAAAATTACGAATCACAAAAGGACTCAAAATGGTCAGAAGTAGGAAGCCGCCGGCTCCCGGACAACCCGTCAGTGGTCGGATAACCACCATAATACCCCAAAGCTTTATATTCCCCTTAATCCCACGATTTACTTTGAAACACCCCATTCCACTTATATCCTATTATCGCTCGAAACCGATGATCTTCTCCACAATATTCCAAATACTCGAGATCTCTTTTAATTCCCATATAAAAAATAATTTTGGGCAGCATTAGGTCGGGTAGGGATTTACGGATTTGTTCACTGACGGATTGTCCGGTCACGAATCCTCTCTTCTTTTATTGGTGTCCCGAAAAATGGCAATAAAGACGCAAAATGGTCAAAATAAGCACTCCCACTCATTTGGCCAGCCCTTTATAAATATTTTAATTTTGACCATTTTGCACCCTTTTCCAATTAAAATTTTTCAGTATAAGGAAAAGGTAAGGAAAATGAAGTCGATAATAGAATAATATAGTCGTTTTTCCATTTTCTACCTATAATCCAAAGCAAATTCAAATTTTAATTGTTCATTAATTTCCACTTGTTCACGTGCTGAACAATAATTTACAATATTATTCCATTTAATTTGTGCCCATCGCGTGCCAGTTAAAGTTAAATTTGTTTCACGCATTGCCCTTTCTAACTAAAAAAATGAAAAAAACTTTTTAATTAAAGGGATAAAAAATTGAATTTTAAAGTTAATAGAGGCCCTTCAGTGGTTAACAAAAGTAGATAACGTAAAAGTCAAAGGAATTTCAAAATGGAGGCAGAGGTGGGTCGGAGCAGTCAGAGGTGTCGGAAATCGGAAGAGCCGGAAATAGGAACTGGCTCAAAAGTCGAAACTCGGAAATCAAAATCTTTTTACGGAAATCGGAAGAGAAAAACGCCGGAAATCGGAATTCCGACCACCTCTGACTCTCGGATCCGTAGCCAACAAAAAATTTTTCGGAAGAGGAGAGAGTACATAGTACATGATGGAGGGGTTAGAAAGGGGGTTTTATACCTCCATTCAAGAGGTTTCTCCATTTAACATAAAAAATCAAAACTCTTCTTACCACATCATTTTTATTTTCATTTTCCCCAATAACATAATCTACAGACAAACACACTTTTGCAAAAACTTTAAAAGGAAAATTTGAAGAAGAAATCCAATTAATTAAAATTTGAGATAAATTGAGTGTATCTAAAGCCATTGGACTAACAATATCATTTTCTTCATCATCAAAATACATTAATTGCGAATAATTGTTTGGCTGGAAAATTTAAAAAAATTTTTGGAAAAAATTTTTTTTAATTAAAAAATATTTTTAGGCCGCAAAATGGTCAAAAAAATTTTTTAATTAAATTAAAAATAAAATTTTTCAGAAAAAAATTCCTTAAAATAGGAACAGAAAAAGCCGCCTTAAAATTCATTCCCTAGTTGTATTTCTAAAATTGTCCCCTACTAAAAACCCTCGACGTGACCTTTTTGAGGCCCCTACTTTTGACAATAATTTCCATCAAACTAAGCTCATATAAACGTCAAAAATTTTAAATTTTGTATAAAATGAATATACAGAATGCTCATCAAAAGTCGAATACTCCCAAAAATTCAGTCAAAAAATCGTTGTTTGGTAAATTAATTTTTTCCTTTTTAATAATAATACTCCCCCAAGCGTAAAAGTAGAGGATCAAGAACATGCCAGCTTTATTCCCCTTTCCCCCATTTCTGGGGAGAATGGCTTCAGCGCCCTAGCTACACCCTTATAGGGGAGTACAAAAATTAAAAAACTTTAGATTTAAAAGAAAAAAATTTTTGGATCGGAAAAAATTTATTATAATAAAACCTCCTTACATAAGCATCTAAAAATTTAAATTCCACTTCCAAATTTGTTAATTTTGGAAATACTTGTTGTGATTTGGCCAATTTATTTAACAATTTGTTGATTGATTCCGTCTCTATTGCCGCCAATATAATTGAAGTAAATTTGAGCGAAACAATTTTTGAGAGTAAATCCATTGAGCGACATCCGTGGGAAGCAAAAGCTCTTTGAAAAAAATTTTTGAAAAATTTTTTAAAAATTTTTTAGAAAAAAAACCTTTCAGCAGCTCGAAAAGGTTGACTAAGCCGGTGAACTTCAATTCTCATAGAGACACCATTTGTGGCTAGAGGTTCTAAAACTGGAGGGAGAGAGGCACCGGATGTATAGAAGGCAAAGAAATCTTGTTCCTAGAAAAAAAATTAATAAAAAATTTTTTGCGGACAAAAAATTTTTTTGCGGACAAAAAAATTTTTTGCGGACAAAAAAATTTTTTACGGACAAAATTTGCAGACGAAAAAATTTTTTTGCGGACAAAAGAATTTTTGCGGACAAAAAAATTTTTGCGGACAAAATTTGCGGACAGAAAAATTTTTGCGGACAAAAAAATTTTTTTGTGGATTTCCGCAACTCTTAAAAACAACTATAAAAATTAATAAAAAATAAACCCTTTCCAAAGTTCCATTTCTAAGCGTAGATGTGTGTATAGCAACAAGTTTTTCACGCATTTCTCTAGGCAAAACCAATGGATGTGTTAAATGTTTTAAGGAAACAAGTGTTTTTAAATTATTTTGAATTAATTTTTCCATCTTTTTAGAACGTCTATTTCCAAATTCGTAAGGTAAACTTATCACATTGACAACACCTAAATTTACGGAAAAAAAATTTTTTTTGTGGACAAAATATGCGGACAGAAAATTTTTTGCGGACTGGGAGAAATCATAGGAAAAAAGAGAACTCGAAAATATTGCCTCGATAACCGAGAATTTTGTTTCGAGGTCTCATCTCGGTCCAATCCATGTAAACTAACTAGAAAAATAGGTCTGGACAAGAACGGTTAACTAAACGAAACCGAGGGGAGGTATTGAAAAAAAGCCGTTTGTGTCAAAAAAGGTCCGTAAGAGAGGGATGGATAGAGCAAACAACTTAGATTCGGATAAATCAAAAAAGAAATAGAAATTGAAAAGAAAAACTAAGCCAAAGTTCGTTTTATGGCTCTGACCCGATATCCAAACATCGCCCATTTGGATGTTCGATTTTTAGGAGCCTATATCTCCGTCCAATCAAGTCGGATTTCGCCGATTTTGGTGTCATTCGACTCAGCTCGAGGAGCTCTTTCAAATGACATATCAATCTGCATCAGAATATTTATATGGATCAGAACCATAAAATGAACTGTGACCAAAAACTGCATTTTCTGCGTCACAAATTTTCTAAAAAATCCGCAAAAATTCCCCGAAAAACAGCCACAAATTTTCTCAAAATTTTCGGAAAACCCAAGAAAATCCCATTCCAAACCCCTCAAAATAAAAAATTAAAAAAAACCTTCAAGTATTAAAAGTGTTCCCATAAATTTATCAAAATCGACATCTTTTAAAGAAATTAAATGGATTTCTTTGATGGCATTAAAAGAGTATTTGACAATTAATTCCAACAATCTTTTGAGATAAACGTAGCCAACATATTTGGACAAATCGATAATTAAGGAATCCTTTAAAAACGAAGAAAAATTAGAAAAGTTTGACAGAAAAAAATTTTTGGTTTAGAAGTCTCCCAGTCCTCGACAAAAAAACTCAGGCCAGAATGGATTAACAAACAAATTTTTTCATTAAAAAGGAAAGGTTTTTTTGTTGTTTGTTCATTTTGTAGGTGTTTTTGGGGAGGAAAAGAAGATTTTGAACAAAAAATTTTTTTAATTCCTAATAATGAGATCTTAAGTAGAAAAATATGAAAAAAAACTGACTTGGATCCCTGGACTTGGATTTTTTATCAGGGATGTCCCAGGTTGAAAGAAAAAAGTTGGGGTTGACCTCTGAAAAAGTTACAAACTTAGGGTAGTCGTAATCCGTAAATGATTATTATTCTCAAGCTTTCCCCGGACTTGAAATTTTTTCTGAACTTGGGAATCTCAAAAAAGGACGGGTATTTGGTGAGAGAACTAATCAAAAATAAAATTTAAAGTTAACATTACCCCTCGGAATTAAAATTTAAAAAAAATAAAAATTTTTAAACCTTTCCATTAGCCGACCGAAACTGAATTTTGGCGTTATTCAAAGTTAGTATTGAAAGTTTTGCAATTGAATCGAGGGCAGACAATCGGAAAAAGTTTGGGCAACACTTTAGAAAAAAAATTTTTTTTTTCTTAGAAAAAAATTCAAAAAACTTACAAAAATTTTAAAAAATCCATCATCCACAAAACGAGCATTTTCAACAACTTTTTGCCCAATTAAATATTGGATGTCTCTACTGACATAAAAAGAAGAAGATTTGTTTTGGTAATTCATTTTCTAGTATTTTTTGGTTAACAAAAAAGGAAAAAAATAAATTAATAGAACAAATAACCCTTGATATGATTCTGAAAAAATATTTAGAAAAAAAAATTTTTTTAAGGGGTTTTAGACTCTTATTAAACGAGAGTCGGCAAAAGCGAACTTTCCGGGATTCCGAGTCGTGATTTTTTTTCTCTTAACCGATACCGGGACATACCGTCGGATAAATCCCGAAAAATCCTGGATCCCGAAAATCAAAAAAATCCGGGATCCCGGAAAATCCCGTAGGGATCCCCGTTTCGCGCCGACCTCTACTGGTTAACCGAGAATTGGACCCAAGTTTGGAGTCAAGCCTCAGACTTTCAAAAACATTTATCTATAATATACTCAGGTTTATTCCCCTCCTAAATAAATTTTTATTAAAACTGCCACGCAGCCAACTCTTCAACTGTCAATATTTAACTGCCAATTTTAGATTCACAAACTGCCAATTCTTCATCTCCACATATAATAAAGGAGAAGTAAGATTAGTTCTCTTTTCTGAAAAAAGTAAAACGAAAATAACAAAAAGCAAACAATAAAAGTACAAAAAAATTAGAAAAAAACTTTTTTTACGAAAATTTTTCAACTTTTAACAAAATGACATTTTATCCCACGAAAAATAACTTTTTATCCCAATTGGCTCCCATACAAAATCTCTATTCCTTAAAATCGCTATTCCTTAAAATCTCTACTAATCTAAAAATGCTTAAAATCTCTATTCCTTAAAATAACTATTCCTTAAAATCTCTACTGGGGTAAAAATAATTAAAATCTCTACACCGTGCAAATGGATGGTAGAGTCTCAACAAAAGTGTAAAATATGAACTTTTCATTGGAAAACCCAGACTTGGTAATGGATACGGATATGGATACAATTGATTTAAAAATGGCTGCAGATATCTGCTTGTATCCGCCGTAAATATCGAAGATATAATACACGACTGCTTCGCTGCGGTCGTGTTCATTTTGCTTGCGGTGATCGTATCGAAGCGGCTGCTGTCGTTCCGCTGGACATGCCTGGGTTCATCCGCAGCGGCAAAAACAATACAAGCAAAATAATATCAAAAGATAAGCCAGAAATCAGAACAACGTTTCCGCACTGAACGTTGGCACTCAAAAGGCTTCCGAATGAAAAAATAGACATTTTATCCTATTTTTGGCCGTGCAGAGATTTTAAGGCGTTTTACCCGTGTAGAGATTATGAGGAATAGAGATTTTAAGGAATAGTTATTTTAATAATTTTTAGCCGAGTAGAGATTTTAATGCATTTTAGCTGTGTAGAGATTATAAGGCATTTTAGCCCAGTAGAGATTTTAAGGAATAGAGATTTTGAGGGGATACGTCCCAATTTTGTCTAACTTCTCTAATTACTCTCCTTATTTTGCCTTATCTCTAAATTAAATTTTTAAAGAAAATTTTCTTTAAAATTTTGACTTTTTCTTAAATTTTGCTTTTATTTTTAAAAATCTTTTAGGCCTCTAAAATGCAGAAAAATCACCAACTTAGAATGGAAGCTGAGGAATTATTAAATAAATTGGCATTAAAAGCCCAAACATCTCGTTATTTTGTCAATCCATTTTTTGAAGATTCCAAATTAGCAGCTAAATATGTGACGGAAGAATGGATTTTACATCAAATTAAATTACTGGCTGAACAAATTTCTCAAAGAAAAATTTCTTCTGATGAATATCAAAAAGGTTTATTGTAATTTTAAATTAGGGGAGATTATTTCTAGGGGAGGAAATGGGTTTGTAAAGGAAGAAGGGGAATCTACCTATATTTAGTTTAGAGAACGAGCTGAAAAGGATCCAGATCTTGATTTTTCCTGGATCCAGAGTTCAGAGTCGAGGCATTTTTCAGAGTTCCTTGATTTTCCTTAACTCAAGGTCAAGAATCTGGTCAAGGTCCTTATCTAAAATCAAGCTCAAGGTTTTTTGAAAATCCCGCTCTCTAGTTTAGTTGCCTAGCATTTAATACGATTTGTCAAAAATTACGAAGATTTAAGGGGCTATTGAAGTTAGTAGATAAGTAGGTGAGCACCTGCAACCTGAAGTAAGTGAGAGCCCCTAACATCGAGTTGTTCGACTCAATGTTAGTCTATGCTCGAAGTCTGCCTTCACCACGTATACTATGTGCTTTAACACTCCCTCCTCATTTTCCTTTATTTTCTAGCCATTCTTCCAAAAAATTTTTTCAAAAATTTTCAGAAGGCCCCTATGTCGGTCCAAGCGGAATTGCTTACTCTCTTTTACGCGTCACACAAATAAACAAAAATTTGGATTTTACAAAACAAATAAAAAATATTTTGGAAACACAATCGGTTAGTCTTTAGAAAATTTTTTTTGAAATAAAAAAAATTTTTTAGAAAATTTCTTCAAATTCTTCAAATAAAAGTAAATATTTAAATGGACGTGCCGGTTTTTATTTAATTAAATTTTTGGCTAATTTAATTGATTTGGACAATTTTAAAAGAAAAATTGGGAAATTAATTGAATATGTTGTTGATGAAACTGAAGATAATGAAATACTTAATGGGAGAGCTGGGTTTTTGGCTGGATTTTTGATGTTGAGGTAAATTGGAGATTTTTTGGAGGTTAAAATTTAAATTAGAAGGGAGCGGGGAATTAAAAAAATTTTAAAATTATTTTTCGAGTAATTCTGGAAAGTCAAACGGAAATTTTCAAAGTTTTCCCCTTTGGTTACCTTTAAATTTTTCATTTCCTTTTAAACTCGAAAAGGAAATGAAGGGAAATTTGAGGATTTTTTTCTTTTTTTTTTAAATTTTTTTAAATATTTTTTTTGAGTTTATCGAATTTTGGAACCAGCCTGCATTCCTTTTTGCCATCGTGTTCTCTTTTGAATACTCCCGCATCTTTTGAATTTTACATTTAAATTCATTAAATTATTAAATTTAGAAATGAGGACAGAAAAAAGATAATTTCTGATGATCAAATTAGACAAGTTCTTAATGCTATATTGGAGGCAGGTTCTTTTTTTAATTTTTTCAAATAATTTTTTAAATTTATTTTTAGGCCGTACTTATTCTATTGAACACGATTCCGATGCGAATTTAATGTATGAATGGCATGAAAAAGAATATTTGGGAGCGGCACATGGACTTGCTGGAATTTTACAAATATTTTTGAGGTTTTTTAAAAATTGGAAAAATAATTTTTTTTTGATTTTTAAAAATTTTTAGTTATTGGAATTTCCTCGATTCTAAAGCTAAAAACGATGTTAAACAAACAGTTGAATGGTTTTTGGGTATTCAATTAAAGG